TGTCTGTCATTACGGTTTCCGAGAGGTATGAAGATAATGCAAGGCAACACACGATTGTTAAAGAGATCTAAAAGGAACACCTACCAAGCCAGAGTAAGCTTCAGTCACCCATTGGACCAATTGGAACATGGAGGATGCTGCTGTGATGGGAGAAAACTCTAAATTCATTCGGTATGTCACATGAGACATCACAAGGTTTAAAAAACAATGAGTAAAATTATTTCCCAATCAGCAATCTTGCAGACATTAAGGTAAACGCAGTCTCAAAATGTGTGTAAATGAGCATAGCATTATGACGCTTTCAGCAATATTCCAGCAATATCACAGCAGGGGACACCAGAAATGGGCTTCACACATTATACCCAGGTAGGGAGTCAAACACATGAATTTTGTAACCACAAGGTTAACCCATGGGCCACTGAGAAAGAAGATTCAACGGAAGTTTCTTGAAATTCCAACCCAAACAGCAGTGAAAAAGAAGAATCAAAGGTCATAAATATCATCATTATACAATGCAAAATAAGTCAGAAAACAAGCGGATAAAAATAATGAGGTTAGACAGTTTTATTGAATAAGCCAACACATCCTGTAAGTAATTATATATATGAGGCAAGGTCACACAGTTTTCATGTCAACATTTCAAACCTTGACATATAAAAGCGATTCCCCATTCTTCAGTTTGTTCTAGTTATTTGGACAGAACAGATGTTGGCTTCATTGTAAACACTCTTTGGACGATTAATATGGGGCAACAAGTAAGTGAGTAAAGTTGCATGCCACTTCTGGCAATAATCCAGTAATATCACAGAGGGAGACACCAAAAATGGGCTTCACTCAATGTACACATGTGGGGAATGCAACGGGGTCTCAGGGATGACAGGCGAACCCCACCACCTCCATATAGCTAAACCAAACATGGTAATGTGTACAATATAGACAGTACACACTACCCATGGTCATTTGTTCAGCATCAATACAATACATATGTTCATCAGTCATCATTAAACATATACTAGTACTGGACAAAAATTGTTAGGGATATATGTAAATTTTGAAATTATGAATAATGATCTACTAGTATTTATTAATTGACACACATAAAATATCAATCATAAAAATTTCAATATCCCTAACTTATTTTGTCAAGTATATAAAAAACATCTAGTGTCATGTACAATGGAGAAAGGATATGGACAAGAGAGTTAGGACACATTCTTCCAATTTTATACTATTGCTAAACTGTCTGTTTGACACTCCTTGCAGACAGAATATAAATATATTTGTGTAGGTTAATATGTTTTTGCCATAAAATGCTCATTTGGTAGGTCAGTTTGGGGAGAAAGAAGAGATCATGCTTTTTAATGTGACATGTTCTGATAAAATAATATGTATATACATTTACTTTTGTGAATGTTTTGTCTCCTTATATATATTTCAGTGACTCAAGGAATGACCTGCACACATGTTAATACAATCCATGTATACGCATTTTGATCAAATTGCATTTTGTAACTTTTAACAGCAGTTTTTCATTTCATACATTTCTTAAAGCTTTTCATTTTCTTCCTCATCCAAAAAGGAGCATTTGGGGCAAATATGAATACATTTAATATCTTTTTATTAAGTTTTTGCATATGGTTTTGGCTCCTGTGAGCAGAGCCCATAAACCCCTTCTACTTTAGTCTAAAAAGGTACAGTTCTATTTTGATCTTGAATTTAAGCTGTGTCACATCTTACGTTTTGGCCAAAAAAGGCAACATTTAACATATTCATAACTTTGGTAAAGCACAATAAATGCTAGTATTTTGGCACTGTTTGTAAATGAGTATACTTCAAACATTTGTCTACAAGAAGTTAGCACATCCAGGATGGTAGCCTTAGTTTGTATGGTTTCACCCAGGTGAACTAAATTGTCAGAAGTGACATTTAAATCAGATGGCCTATGGCATCACCTATCAGAATCATTTAAGTATAGATACACTGCATTGTGTGAGTGAGTTAGATTGACATTACTTTAATGTGGAAGTAAGGGACCGTTCATAATGTATGGATGGGGTTGAGGAAGGGGGGTGGGGGGTGGAATGATGATTTTTATGGAGAAGCATGTACAATGTGAATGACCCCCCTAAAATTTATGTACAAAGTAAGTCTCTCTCTCTCACTCTCACACACACATACACACACACTGCATGTCGTGTACAAAATCAATGACGACCCACCAAGTACATGTGTACAAAATTGACACCTTCACCTCACCAGAATAAAATGGGTGACCCCCTTAAAATCATCATCATCCCCCCACGCCATAAACTAGGAATGGTCCCTAAAGGTCACAACAAAGGAGAAAACTCTGGACAAGGAATTGTGACACCCCACACAACTAAGACAGTAGTACATCCACGTTTGCATTCATTGTAAATATAAAATTTACATAATTTGGTCTATCAGGTAAATTAAGAGCAACTAAATATTACACAGTTTAAAAGCAAAAACACTATAAAGCTATGTATGTTAAAACAAGCATCCATATAGCAAATTAGCATATACAATGACATATTCATACTAATATTTTGATATAAAACAATGTGTCAAATGTTAGGTTTTCCATGTTTGAGCCACTGACCAAAAGTATGACAAATAAATAATATTATTACTTGTTAGTTGTTCTACTGTCATAGACAAGCATACAATGCAATCAGTCCCCAAACAAATTAGAATCATTGGGGTTTTTTTTGTTCTTAACGCCATACTTGGCAATATTCCAGCCGTGCACAATCAAATGTGGACCAAGCAATCCAGTGATTCATAACATGAGCATTGACTTCATGACTGGGATATCATTATTTGTTCGAACAAAGTCAACCAGTCGGACCACAATAGTTGCCTGTTAACATAAGTTTGCTGAAGACCAGTTCTAACCTAATCTTCAGGTGATGCCATGGGGGTCAAGATTAGGGCTTAGGTCAGCAATTCCCATATAGAGCTCACTGTTTGAGACATTACAGCACCATAGAGAGACAATGTGGGAGTCCAGGTCATGGATAATGTTGGTGTTGGCACTTTAAGTGTAAAGCTTCTACACAAGTCTCAAACTGCTAGTATTCTGTGAACTGGCATAGCTGCTAAATAAGCGTGGTGTAAGGTGAGGTGAGGTGGTGTGAGGTGATTTGGTGTGAGGTGGTGTGAGGTGAGGTGAGGTGGGTGAGGTGAGGTGAGGTGAGGTGAGATGAGATGAGATGAGATGAGATGAGACGAGGTGAGGTGAGGTGAAATAGGGTATAGCATCATACTTAAGAATATTTCACTCATATGACGACATGCATTCATGTGTATGTGTGGCTGCTTGTACTAGCCCAGATTTAAGCGGGTTTTATAGTGCTGAGATACCATGCTGCAGTTACGCATGAATACCCCACCATTACCCATGGGTTGTACCCATTAATGCCAAGCGCAAGGCAGGGACCAACAAGTACCATATATTTACATCTTTTGGTATAACACGGCTGGGCATAGAACCTGCGACCTTCCGTTCTTCCGGTGGACACTCTGACCACTACACCACGGAGGCGGAGATGAGGTTTGTGAGTGAGTGAATGAGTTTAGTTTTACCCGCACTCAGCAATATTAATGCTATATCGCGGCTGTCTGTAAATAATCGAGTCTGACCAGACAATCCAGTGATCAACAGCATGACCATCCATCTGCGCATTTGGGAACCAATGACATGTGCCAACCAAGCCAGCGAGCCTGACCACCCGATCCTGTTAGTCGCCTCTTTAGACAAGCATGGGTTACTGTGTGTCATTCTAACCCGGACCTTCACGGGTTGGTGAGGTTCGTGTGGTGTGTGTATGGTGTGGAGTGTGTGTGGTGTGGCTTGGGGCGGTTTTAGATTGAATCATTCAAAAATGAAAACCACATTGTTAATGTTCTTAAAGGAACCATCACAAAGCTTCTCACAACACTATGTTAAAACTATTCACAAGTTAAAATGGACATGGTGGATGCAAGTGATATACTCTCAGACAATTAGGCCACACCAAATCATCATCCTGTTTTACTGACAAGCCTACATATAAATTAAAAGTAAAAAATTAGTTTTCAGTTTAAGAACCAACTTACTCCCATCCATATGTCATATCCAATCCGAGGTGGTGGGGTAGCCTTGTGTTTAAAACGTTCAATCGTAACGCTGAAGACCGGGTTTGATTCCCTACATGGGTACAATGTGTAAAGCCCATTTCTGGTGTTCCCGCCATGAAATTGCTGGAATATTGCAAAAGCGGCGTAAAACCAAACTCACTCACTCCTAGGGCTGTTTTTGTGGATGCAGTTATGGACCACCTGAGTGAGTTGAGTGAGTGAGGGGACACCAGAAATGGGATTCACACATTCTACCCATATAGGGAATCAAACCTGGGTCTTTGGCATGACGAGTGAACGCTTTAACCACTCGGCTACCCTACCACCCCCTTTGAACTCCATACCATAGGCTGTGTGTGGACACATGCGGAACTAACTTGACATGCATGAATATTAATACAGAGGTGCATCATAGATACAAAAATGGACACTGCAAAAAATGGACAAGCGTGATCCCAGCTAAGCTGTAATATTCAACCATGAAGCATTCAGGGACACAAAGATTTTTCACAAATATATACAGCTGAAACAAATTGCAACAAGAGAGTTTACTATTGATTTACTATCAGTTTTCAAACATTATCTTTAACAGACCTAGAGATACATCTGCTTGATACAGGATTCAAAATAAAGGTATTGAAGTTTATCTATTGATGAAACAAAATATCTACAATCATCTTTGGCTTCATCCATCAACAGGCAAGAAAGGCTTTGTTTGTTTGTTTAATGCCGCACTCAGCAATATTCCAGCTATACTGCGACAGTCTGTAAATTATCTAGCCTATACCAGACAATCCCATGATCAACATCATAAGCATCAATCTACTCAATTTGTATACGATGACATGTGTCAACCAAGTCTGCGAGCCTGACCACTCGATTCTGTTAGTCGCCTATGACTGACAAGCATGGGTTGCTGAAGACCAATTCTTCCCTTAATCTTCACAGGTTGGCAAGAAAGGCAAGGAGGTATGTATGTATGTATCACACAGTGTCAAATGAACATCTACAGATAAACCATTTCAATACAAGATCATTACTATAAAAGCTACCGTATTTACCCACATAAAGATACTACACCAATAGACAATCCCTGTCTGACCCCTTGTCCAATCTACAAACATAATAACTACCCATATTCACCTGGTTGAGAAGGAAGACCATTTTTAGTATACAATACTATTTCTTATCCTAAAGCAAAAACATTACCAATACATGCATAAAATTTAGCATACATTCTGAAGCATTAAATACCCTGTCAGCTAAGGAAACATTCTGATAAAAAAAAAGCAGATATTCTTTCAGGTAAGCCAATATTCCCGACATAACTCATACTGATTCACACCAAGGAAAAGACAAATAAGTGACAAAGACATTTCCAGTTCACAATGAACCATACAAACATATTGCCAAGGCATTGCTCATCACTTGTTTGATAACGGTGTTAGCATCTACACCAAAACATCATTTACACTATAATACAGAAGTTGTATGTCAATAGAACTCTCCCTGTTGTTCATCACACCAACAATGGGAGACTTGAATATGATGATACCAAATAATTGTTATTACTATTATTGATGCAAATAATACCATCTCTGTATATTACTTTATGAATCTGATAAATGCATAAATATGAAATAAATGTTGCTATCATTAATTCAGAGAATATCACCTCTATTACTTCAGAATAAATTCAAACAATACCGTTTCTATTAGTTCATTGCTAATTCAAAAAATACTACCTCAATTGCTTCATCAGTAATTCAAAGAATACCACCCCTTTTACTTTATCATAAAGTCAAAGAATACCAGCTCTAACACTTTATCAGCCATCCAAAGAATATACCAGCTGTATTATTTAGTCAGTAATTCAGTGAATACAATAACATCAAATAATTGTTACTATCATTAATTCAAAGCATACCCCTCTCTTACTTCATCAGTGAGTTGAATGCAATAATATCAAATAATTGTTACTATTGTTAATTCATAGAATGACACCTTTATTTCTTCACCAGCTACTTCTCAAAGCCTTGTCTCGAGAAAACAATTATTAAAGTGTGTTAGGAGGGTTATCTGTATTTTGGGTTTTCAACTTAACTGATTCCAGAGAGTCAAACACAGAGGGGTGCAAATGAAAACAACAGACAACCCACCATACCTAAATCTTACTTGGACTTTCGGTCATCAGAAAACTAAAATAGAGCATCACTTGATATTATGTCAAATAAGAACTGTCTCTCTCGTCAATGTTAGATTCATTACTTGGCATGAACCTCAAACAAGTTTACAGGAAAATAACATCATGATCATGAAATATTATGCCTCTGTCATATTCAAAGAGCAACCAATAATCCAATACATAAAAATAAGGCAGTGAATACAAAACATGCAAGGGGTGAAGATTGAATGAATCCAACATTAATATACCTCCCTTTATGGCAATGCAACACAGTCAGATTAAACAAAGAACAGTCAAAAGGACCTTTGTAAAGACTTTGAGTTATCCAACGTTCAACACAACCCACAAAACAATGATAAAGTTTGAGTGAGTATTTAAGCAATATTCCAGCAATATCACAGCAGAAGACACCAGAAATAGGCTTCACACATTGTACCCATGTGGGGAATCAAACCTGGTCTTCAGCATGACGAGCCAACGCTTCATATTAACCACTAGGCTACCCTTCCGCCCATTTCATGACTAAAAGCTGTGACAGGGCCTTAACACAATCGGTGTCCTGAGGGATGCATGAACTTGGTTTGAAATAAGTACTAAAGTATGACAACATAAAGCGATGACTGCACATTACATACAGATATAAGGGCTTCACACATTGTACCCATGTGGGCAATCCAATCCGGGTCTCAACATGACAAGCTAATGCTTTAACAACTACGCCTCCCCACCCCCAAATTAATATCAAACTTTCACAGATAAGACAGTACAAAAATTGTTCTATGCTAGATTGGAAGACATCCTCAATTAACCAATCCATTATTAATAAAAGGTTTTGAAAACGTTTACTTGTTCTATCTGGGATTCGAATGTCAGATTCAAATTCAGGCAAATTAGTAATTTATTTTTCTCATAATTTGTTTTTTTCATAAGTTCACATTTTCTCAGTTTTAGTTTTATTTCAACTTTGTAATTTAAACTAGCATTCCATGCTTTAAATACAAACCTAAGAACTCTTCTTCTACTTTGGTTCTGGTATCAATGACATTGACGTTATCAAACATCAATGTCACTTTGACAAATTCATAATATTAGTTGTCAGCATATAAGATGGGAAATCTTAAAGTTTAGGCTTTTTTTTGCTGAAATATTATAAAGCTATAAGTTGAGAATATGATCTCTTGGCAGGTGTTCATAAATCCAAAAGGACATTGTTAATATACATTTAGAAATCTTTCATACCAGAAAATGTCCTATAATGCCCAAGATTCATTTGCAAAAATCAAGCAAACATTTTTTGCAATAGGAGTCCTTGTGCCCTTGTCACATGGCATAAGTACACTTTAACATAAGTACATCTTGACATCAGTACACTCTGACACCTGGGTGCCATTGTACAAAACAACCTTAAGTGTATGGTAAGTAATATCACTCCAACAATATCACTCACGACGGGGGACACCAGGAATAGCCTTCACACATTGTACCCATGTGGGGAATCGAACACGGGTCTTCAGCGTGACAAGCAGACACTTTAACCATTAGGCTACCCCACTGCCCCCACATAATGACATTGATGCACTTTGATATTAGTACACGGTCCTGTTCACCAATTTCAAATCACACTCCCCTTCATCTTTTTTCCAAAACCAGTGGTGAAACTTGCGAGCTCGCCTCAACTTTGCCTTATTGCCAGTGACCCAGTTATTGTTGATGATGAGGGGTCGGAGAGTCAACCTTTTCTCTTCATCCATTTTGTACCACCGACCATCAGCAAACTTATCTAAGGACACAGCAGTCACTTTTATACCCCCATATTTCTTACTGATCAGGTGGGACAGGTACGTTTGATCATTTTCTCCTTCAGATAATGGCTCTGTGTGATCCATCTTCAGGATCTTCTGCTCAAGCTTCACCAGCTTCTGTGTCAGCATCCCCCACAAATCAACCACCTTGCTGTTGGGGATCATGTAGAGAAACCCCCCTCCCAGAATCCCCGGTCTGTTGCTGACTCTCGTAGCAAGAAGATCAAAACCTTTAATCTCTCTCTGACACTCAGGGATCGGGTCTGCAAGCCACAGACAATCCACCTCAAACAGAAGGACCTCCACCTGGTGCTTGAGCAGGTCCAGAATGGCCTCGGTCCTGCGGATCACGAGCCTCACATACCCAACATGACTGTACTTCTGGTCTCCACTGTACTCATCACCTCCTGGCAATAAGACAACATGGATGTCAGGCCACATCCGAGTCAGTGTGTCACGAGTCAGTTTGTCAGTTGCAATGATAAGCACCTGTTTGTGTATACCCATATACTTCGTATTGCACAACCAGCTTTACGTGAAAGGAAGATATGCGTCATTGATGATAGTTATTAGCACCGGACCACCAGTTATCGCCTGAGCTATCTCAAGAATTGAGTCTGATTGTATATATTCTTCATGATCACGGACATCTGTTGGCACCATTGGGAGGAAGTTATTCTTGGGCAACCACTTCTTCCGCTTGCTTGAGAGAAGGTAGTAGTGTATGTAAATGAAGGTTGTCAAACAGAGGAACAGTAAGAGCATGAAGAAGCGTTTACGGTAGGGAAACGCCATGCCGTTGTTGGTATTGTCCGGGGACAATAACACCACATGCTGATACCCTCCACTAGATCACAAGTGGCTCCCCTTGTTCAGATCTTCAGCCTGCCAAAAGAAGAGAGAATTTGAATATCAAACATTGGGACAGAAGCATTGGTTTACTGAAAACCTGCACTTGCTGAAAAGAGTGATAATCATAAATATCGTTGATATGGAAATTGCTTCATCAATAATATCGTACATAAACTTTTATGATGAAGTAAAGTTTTAGTTTAGATCTTAAATCAGGAGCTGCTTCTAAATTATGTTCAGGGCGGTCTTTTGTTAGTAATCAGATCACAAGTGAAATATGTTGATTTCTTTCAGATATTTGTTTCAGCAGTATTACAGCTATATGATGTTGTTTGTAAACAATTCGAGTCTGGACCAGATAATCCAGTGATTGCGACTATGCGATACGATGACAGAGCATGTGTTTATGAATCACTATCAAATAGTGATGATACCTGTTCGCAAAAAGGTGTGTGTATCCTGCCCCACCGGTGGCACCCAGTGTTTGCAGTACTTTAATTTGCCAGTTGGCCATCAGGGCCTGCTGCCGGCTGCAGGCTTTAAAATCTACAAGCCCTGAATGAAATGTGCAGGCCCACTTTCTTAAAGTCAAACCAATAAAAACAAGAAGACAAAGTCATCAATATCCCCCGCAATGGCAAAATACTCTTCATGATTATGTCTACGAGTTATGATTATGTCAAATATTTAGGTGTGTATATAGAAAAGTGGATGGAGAGTATTGAAAGGTTTTTAAAGTACTGCTCCAGAAAGGAGCACTATCACCAATTTCAGTCTAAGTCAAACTTGTTGCCATGGAAATGCCAAAAATATTTTATTCCAAAATCCAAAACTACCAAAAGGCACCAGTACACCACCAGATCTATCTATGTGCCAAGTTTGGTGAAGAAATAGTGAACGGTTTTAGAGCTCTGCTCCGGAAAAGAGCACAACCACTAATTTCAGTCTAAGTCAAACTTGTTGCCATGGAAATGCCAAAAATATTTTATTCAGAATTCCAAAACTACCCAAAGGCACCAGTACACCACCAGATCTATCTATGTGCCAAGTTTGGTGAAGAAATATTGAACGGTTTTAGAGTTCTGCTCCGGAAAAGAGCACTACCACTAATTTCAGTCTAAATCGAACTTGTTGCCATGGAAAGACCAAAAATATTTTATTCAGAACTCCAAAACTACCAAAAGGCACCAGGACACATCCAGATCTATGTAAGTGCCAAGTTTGGTGAAGAAATATTGAACGGTTTTAGAGTTCTGCTCCGGAAAAGACAAATGTGCACAGATGGATAGACGGATGCACGCACACACACACACACGCACGGACGGAGTCCATTTTAATCCCCCCCGCAAAACGCGTTGCGGGGGATAACAAAATACACTACACTGTACACAGTTTCACACTATTTCTATAAAATCAATTAGTTTTTATTTGTTTAAGACTGGTGTTGACATTCCTATGCACAAAGTGTTGAAATATCACGAAGTGAAACTGTAAGTTATCGTGACAGTCATGAGGGATTATGGATGATTTCCGAACATTAATAAAGAAAAACATAATGGGAAAGATCCTAGTTGAAAAAAAATGACAGATAATTTACTGAAGGCCATAAGGACCTGCAAATATATGAAACTGTCAGCCGGGTACAAGAACAACCATCACTGGGCCAACAGGCCGGCGATTATTTCGAACGCTGGTGGCACCAGTCAAAACATATGCTAAGTCTAATCATTTGTTCACCTGAAATAATTCAGGAACGTATGGCATAAGTCAAAATAGGGAATTGCATCAGATATCATTTTTGTCACTGATGCATCAAATTTGGAAATTTCCTCAATATGTCTACATTAAAACCTTATGAAAGCCTTACTGAGGCCTTGGATGTTGTAATCTTGATCGGGGCGGTGGGGTAGTCTAGTGGTTAAAGCGTTGGCTCGTCACGCCGAAGACCCGGGTTCGAATCCCCACATGGGTACAATGAGTGAAGCCCATTTCTGGTGTCCCGCGCCGTGATATTGCTGGAATATTGCTAAAAGCGGCGTAAAACCATACTCAGTCAGTCAGTCAGTGTAATCTTGATCAAACAACTTCTGGGGAAGAGTGGTATGACACTCTTTGAAATTCTGATAAATAGAGCACGCTCAATTGTATCTCAAAAGTTGTCAAATGTGTACAGCTAATGGAATATTGTTGGACATGAAAGGGAAGTTGACTATTAGAAAGTTGAAATCATCCCTTTTGTCATACATTTTTTGGGAGAGTTTTTTGTCACTCTGAATCTTTATGCACAGATTAAAACATGAAACACTTGAGGCGGTCTCACTTGTCTCCTTAATTTCAAGTTCGGGTGGATAATAGCCAGCCCTACTGATAAAATATATTGGTTGTCATGCCTGGTTGTTATCATTTAACATTTTTTTTAAATTAGTGAATAAATAAAAGCATTTTCAGAGTAGGCAATAGTTAGGGAAATAAATGAGAAAAGGGGAAAACTGACATATACAATATGGCTGCAAAAGTGTCAATGTATAAAAGTAGATTAGATTACTGAACATGATCCTCAGAGAACAAGATAAATCATCTCACTAATATTTTTCACGTAATGTCAAGAGCTACATCTCTACCTTCAAATGTTCAGAATTAAATGTTTCATGTCAGAAATTAAGCACATATCCTTTAAATGTTATGAAACAAACAAAATTTAAAAACCCTTTCAGTACATTTTGGCAAGGAGGATGGATCGTCATGGTGAGAAACTGTGTTTCCTTTCCTGCTGATCCGTTTCTTTGTTTGCATATGAATCAGAATTTAAGCTAGCAAAATTGAAAATTTTATAATAAATTGTATATTTATATACTTATCCTATCTCACGGTATGCACCATCTCTCTCTTCTACGACCATGTGTGGAAACGTGCTGTCAGCTAAGTTGAGTCAAATCTAACTGGCCTCTGACCCGCCCTGACCTCTGCTCTCACCCCGACATCAACGCCTGTCAATCATCCACCAAAGCGTGCAGCTCGCCCAAATGATCACATGACCACCTCTACCTGTCATTCTCTTTCTTGTCGCCACGTTGTGTGGACGTGTGTTTGTCTATAAGAGAGTTTGATTGTGTTTTTACAATGGGAAAATCGAATCGTTATGGTTCTAATAAATGCAAACATTGAGATAACTGCAACAGTAATTTCTCGGCAGCAGCTTAAAAAGTTTAAAAATTCAGAATAAGGATATTTTACCGTGAAGTTAAAAATTGCTGTACAAAGATTTGTTTCAGACTCTATGCTACCCGGGTTCGAATTGATCTTCAGCAGCCCATGATTGTTGCAAGAGGCAACTGACGGGATCAGGTGGTCAGACTCGCTGACTTGGTGGACATATATCATCGTGTCCCAATTGCGCTGAGCAATACTTATGCTGTTAATCACTGACTTCTCTTTCCCAGACTCGATTCTTTATAGACTACTGCCATATATCTATGGTAAAGATTAAGGGTGACAAAAAGTCCCCATGATTGTAGGACAAGAGAGAACGCAGTCCTACAGTCAACTTTCCCCACATGCTGAGCAAACTTCCAGCAGCTTCAGCCAGGTGTTTACATTCCATAACTTTTTATCTACAATTCGGCATGCTTTTTCAGATTGATCAGTATGGTAGGTTTCATTCAGGATTATTTAATCATTTGGAATTAATGCTCCTGAAAGTCACGACTTGACCACTAGAATGATCAGTATGGCAAGTTTCATTCAGAAATATTCTATCCATGTTCCGCTCTGGAAACAGAAAATGGACAGCAGATAGTCAGATGAACAGAAAAGCTATTCTTTCTTGCTGAGTACCTTATAAGTACAGCAACATGTATTTGGTATCATAAGACACCTCACAGACTTTACTTTCTGACAATACATTTCAACTATTCAAGCCAGTATGCGCATCAACATGGCATCCAATCAGTGTGCAAAATAGTTTCCAAATTTTGCTAGCCAGTTAGGCTAGCTATGCCTGAAAGTTACTAGCCTACAAAATAATTCACTAGCCCAAAATTTCAATGTGGAAACTAAGCAAATGATTGCAAAAACAGATGAGAATAAGATATTGTTGGCATGACACAGGTTTCATCATTAAGCTGCTAATATGAACATTTTATCAGGCCATAATTTTGCATGATTTAAAAGTGTATTATAACTTAACAAGTTGGAGAAAGTGATATATTTACAAAATGACCCCATGGAAATTCACCAGCCAGTCGGGCCATCGACTATAGTTTTACTAGCCACGGGCTAGCGGGCTAGTGGCTATTTCGCACATTGCATCCAATGACATTCTGCATATGAATAAATCAAAGATAATGTTAACACATTGCTTTATGCGTTTATACCCTGATTTCTGATACAACATACAACTCAACTGTTTAAAAACAGGAACATGAAGTTGTTTAAAGGTGAAGGTCAAGTTCAAGGTCTACTGAACATGCTAAATAATTACATAAGAAGTCATAAATTAAATTAACTTTCCCCCCTCAAAAAGAAAATCCAGTGTGATATAAATGTGATATAAGTGAAATACTCTTGAAATCAGTGTGAAACCTAAACTCACTCAACTTATTTTTATTTGCTATAAACTAACCAAAAGAGTTAACATGGAAACTCATAGGGTTTTAGCTTTGGTGATTTTTCATAATTTTTTTCTCCTCCTGCCTTTAGGTTTTCTGAGGACAAATATCTGTAAAACAAGACATAAAATTGGTCTGGCCTTAACATGAAACACTAAAGCATTAACACAGCTGTTGAACTTTTTGTGTTTCATATAAAAGTGTTGATTTCTCTTTATTCAAAGTTCATTCTGAAACACTGGTGGTATTAGTTTTCAGCTTGGCTGATGGTTTTGTTATCATATTCAGTCAATCATATTGACTGACTGACTGAGTTTGGTTTTAGGCCGCTTTCAGCAATATTCGAGCAACATCATGGCGGGGGACACCAGAAATGGGCTTCACACATTGTACCCATGTGGGAATTCGAACCCGGGTCTTCGGCGTGACAAGCCAACGCTTTAACCACTAGGCTACCCCACCGCCCCCAATCAGATTGAACCTATATGGAATGGTTGGATATGATACTGCTATACCATGTACATATATTGTCTCTAAAACCCCACTTTTTTGTCTTGCCTATTACTTGACTTTCTATGTTCAATTGTCTCTCTGTAAATAGTTTTACCTATTTTCTTTTCTCCTATAGTATTGTAGCGCCATGAGCGGGTATTAGTACCTGGATGTAGCGCTATATAAATATCACATTATTATTATTATTATTATATATTGACATAACCTATATATGTGAGTGAGTGAGTGACTATGTTTCAGCAATATTCCAGCAATATCATGGCTGAGGACACCAGAAATGGGCTTCACATATTATACCCATGTGGGGAAACCTGGGTCTTTGGTGTGCAAGCGAACACTATAACCACTAGGCCACTCTACCGCCCAACCTATACATGGGAGGAAACAATGTTGTGTACATGACATATTGTAATGGAATATCGAGTAATTACATATGGTAATAGGATATGATCTGGCGAAACATTTAATCGACTACATAAGTATCAATCATGTTCGTGTTACCTTAACCTTGACCTGTGATTATTTTTTATAGTAATGTGCATGATAGTAATCAGTTCAGATAATTATACAAGTAATTACCAGGGGTTCAAAATTGTTTTAAAAAGCCACTTGCCACAGGGCAAGTGACTTTAAGAAAGTAACTTGTCCTGACTAATTTTCCACTTGCCCTGATTTTATGACATAATCATGATGATGTAATTATGAAAGAATCAATCAACATGGTATTTGATGTTAATGTCTACTAGACTATTTATTGAAAAGTGTTAAAAAAAAAGAAAGATAACTCTACTTTATTATCATTGCAAAATTTAATAGCTACATTTTGAGCAGATATGAAATTAAATCCAAGTTTATTTGCAGTTTGAAACCATAAGTGGAAATTATCTAGTAGCCCACAGACAAGTAAGATACCATTATTTGATTGCCTGAAATGAAAACTGACTTGTCCCGGGCATTGGGGCAATTGGATTTTTGAACCCCTGATTACTAAAGCATATTAACAAGGAAAACTTGAAGGTTGTCTTTGATTTAATACAAAACTTGGAAAGTTATTGAAAGTCCTCCATTAAATCCCATGGAAAAGACTCCCTCCACACAAACACCACAGCACCCACACCCCCACCCCACCCACACACCCCGATAAATCATATTGTGTGGCGAAAAATAGCAGGATTACCATGAAAATGCCCCGAAAATCAAACATTGCCTGAAACTTTAAGTCTGGCAACATTGGTTCAAGAAAACAAGAGATTCCAAGCTTTCCAACAATACCAAATACATCTTGATGTACCTCCAGTAGACCTATCTCCTTCATTTTGCTAGCAAGCTGGAGACTGCCACAGGTCTATTAATACTTTATTTCAAATTTTCATTCAAGTTTGTTTACAATAAATTGAGTGGAATGGTGTGTATTAATAATATCAAGCATGGTGAAAAGACAACTATTGACACCTTGAAGGTACTGACTGACTGACTGAGTTTGGTTTTACTCGGGGGACACCAGATATGGGCTTCACTCATTGTACCCATGTGGGGATTCGAACCCGGGTCTTCGGCGTGACGAGCAAACGCTTTAACCACTAGACTACCCCACCGCCCCGACACCTTGAAGGTAAGTTTAACTGACAGAAACTGACACATTAATGGATCATACATGCCTTACTTTGGTTCACTGCAAGTCTTGTTGAAATGGGCTTGTACCCATGTGGTATATACTGAGCTACTCAGACCTAATTTTGATCAGGGCCCTGGTGTTACATTGTATTGATATATTGAACCCAGGCCTTTGATATGACGTGCAGTCACTTTAACCACTGGGCTACCCAACCTCCTCTTTGGCAGTTAAGGAGCTTTGTGATTAGATCACTGACGAATAATGTGATGGATTATATATTCAGGGTGGAAATAACTTTCAAATTGCTAGTGTACTCCGCACAGTGGCACATGTAAAATCACTTGCCCTGATAATTTTTCCACTATACCGGCCATTTTCTTGTTGATTTTTTAAATAAACAACATAATTAATGTTGGAAAGTCAACTGGACACCGGTACAGTGTGATATACAAATTTGCTTGTCCAACAGAAAAAAACACTGGACTCGGACATCGGGCAATGGGTTATTTCCACCCCTGATATTTAATTATGTATTGGCTGTATATTATAATATGAAAAAGCTTCCTTGTGGTTTTTTGTTTGTTGTTAGATTAATACTGAACACAAGGATCTTTATCAAAACGTCACATCACCTGAATAAAGAAGTTGTTCATCCATAAAGTTTGTCCTTATCTGACTCTCCAACTTGAGTGAGAGAGTGAGTTGAGTTTTACACCACACTCAGCAATATTCAAGCTATATGGCGGTGGTCTGTAAATAATTGAGTCTGGACCAGACAATCTAGTGATCAACAGCATGAGCATTGATCTGCGCAATTGGGAACCGATGACATGTGTCAACCAAGTCAGCGAGCCTGACCACCCGATCCCGACGAGCATGGGTTACTGAAGGCCAATATTCTAACCCGGACCTTCACGGGTTCTCTCCAACTTGAAGTATAGTATTCAGTTATGAGGATTCTTTGCACTAGGGGGCAGTGGGGTAGCCTGGTGGTTAAGGCATTTGCTTGATAGGTGAAGACCCGGGTACAATGTGTGAAACCTATTTCTAGTGTTCCCTGCCATGATATTGCTGGAATATTGCTAAAGGCAGCATAAAACCAAACTCACTCCCTTTTCTTAGACTCACTTACATAGACCTGACTGCCTATTAGTGAAATCTATTGCAGACATTTAATGATTTTTCAGAACAAACATCAGGAAAAGCTGACATTTCCTAGTGTCCAACAATGTTTACTTTTACATAATAGGGTGGTGGGTTAGCCAGTGGTTAAAGTGTTCACTCGTCACACCAAAGAACCAGGTTCAAATTTCAATTCCCCACATGGGTACAATGTGTGAAGCCCATTATAAAAGTAATGATTAGATCTACATCTTAAAATACAATAGGCTATACGTTATACTTCATCATTTTTCAGGACTGTAAGGACCATTAGAATTAGTAGCTGGAGACCCTCTGGACCGCTAGTTTTGTACTAACTACAATTCCTGTCAAAATAAAGTTATTCCATGGTCTCTTGACATGGTTATGCAATAGTTGGCATTCGCAGGGAGTTGTCTACACTTTATCGGATGTCGATATTCAGCACAAGGTCTGCAGCAAGTGGGAGTTAAAATACCAAGTCTAAGCCAACCATATGTTGTTTGATAATGCTGAGAGGTTTGTTAGGGGTAGGAAGTTTCGGAATTCAACTTAGTCAAGTTAGTGATTGTTTTTCTTCTTTATTTTTAACCAGTCAAGAAACAGTGGGAGCTGAAATCACGATTACAGTTGTTCCGTAATAGTTCATCAGATCTTAGATTTAGAAATATCTCGATCAATACCAACAGAAAGCCACATGTTACAACTTACATTCCTATTGTTGCATTTGTGAATGGAGTTTGACAGATGTTACCACGGCCGAGGACGCGCCATAACAATCTAAGGGAGGTAACTCTAAAGAATATTATGTTCAGTGTACCACTAAGCACGGCCGAGTAATGACTGAACATTACGCTCTGGCATTACAGAATAGAAGTAGTTGAAAAATTAAATGAAGATAAATGTTGTCAAAATATTCCCAGGTACGTTGTAATCTAACGATTGTAAATCCATACAGAAATTATTGAGTGATATAAAAGCGAACTCACACGGTATCCTTCGCGATAATCCATTTCCTTCTATGATACTTTTATAGCATTCAGAAATCCACCGTGGTTAATTAAGGAAGAAACCTTCAGAAATAACGTATCCATGTAATTAGGACAACCAAATGTTTTCTTTTTTTGTGTGTGTGCTTAAATATAGATGAATTATGTTCGTGGGACATTTTTTTCTTTTATTGTAAATGAGACTAGGAATCTATTAAACAGATGATATTATATGAGTGTCCATGTTATACTATGTTTACGACACGAGTGCCTGAATGTTGGTATTTCCCGAGCGAGAGCGAAGTCGTCAAATTGAGGAAAATAAACCGAAAACTACTTCCAAACATAGGCTGGCTACCCGCCGTCGCCGCACGTAGAACGCAACGTCACAGAAGAAACGTGACGTTTTAGAATTGTTCATGACGTCACGTCACCATGACAAAGTGATATTTTGCCCTAGGGCATCGCATGAAAAATATGAACCCCGATATTTTCGCCCTCGTAAGTTATCAAACAGCATATTCACTGCATACATGACGCGTTTTATGGATAACAACTTCTTTAATATTCTTTATCCATAAAACGTGATTCATGTCCGTCCAACATCTCAATGCCTTTCAAAGGCAGCATATTCACTATAAATACGAAAAAGAAATAGATATTACATGTTGATAAAGAATCTTTCATACTTACGAGGCCCCAATATAAGCATTCTGGACTACCACCTTTGCATTATTTGGAAAGTGTATACATATATAAACACTTGTTTAAGGAATGGTGATCGTGACTTTAGCCTAATATTAAATGTGATGAAAAGAAAATAATAGATGTATCTCATACAGTGTTAAAGTACATGAAAACTTGTCATTTCTCTACCTGGATTAGATATACTCATGCCAATAATGGTTGTCACCCCTTCCCCACCCCAACCCCACACGACCTTAATTATAAATACTGACAACCATTATTGGCATGAGTATATATACTGCATGTTGTTTTACCCAGAACGTGGTTATATGTAATACATTGTATAAATCTTGGTACATCTATAATGACAAAAATAAAGAGTGAAAAGGTGAAAAAAGAGCTCTCGGCCTACTTGTCGTTTTGCACATCAACAGTGACATTTTCTTTTTACTATATATTACTTGAATGTGAAGCGTGACTCGGGATTGTTGTACATATGCTGTGGGTTTCAAGCAGAAACTAGACTTGTGCCATCTACGTAGTTTTTCTACCTGGGCAAACAAGAAGCCCCGGGGCTAACAAAAAGATAATTTCATTGCATAAGTAGTGATCTGGAAGCATAATATTCAGTTATGACGGTTCTTTGCTTTACGGAGCGGTAAGGTAGCCTAGTGGTTAAAGCGTTGGCTCGTCACGCGGAATTCGAAGACCCGGGTTCGATTCCCCACATGGGTACAATGTGCGAAGCCCTTTTCTGGTGTCCCACGCCGTGATATTGCTGGAATATTGCTGAAAGCGGCGTAAAACCATACTCACTCACTCACCAAGCACAGGGCGATTTATGTATCAGAACAGTGGATACACGCGTGTGTGCTGTTACCGAACATTCGACTGATTGGATTGAACCCCGATCTTGCCACCTTGTTGTCCATACCGAAACATGTTTGGTATTTTAACCGTTAGCAAGAGGTGATAGCTCTTAACGTGCTTTGTATGTCAGGGGTAATCCACTGTCAAACTATGCCATCGGTGAAAGAAACAAAGTAATATTTTCCCGGTCTAAAGAAAAACGTCAAACAACCGAGGACCACTATTTCTTAAGAACCCGTAAAGATCCGGATTAAAAATTGCCCTGGCGTAGCCCACGCTTGTTGTCAGGGGCCACTAACGGGGTAGAATGGTCAGGCTCACATGTCATCGTCTCCCAATTGTGTAGATCGATGCTCATGGAGTTGGTCACTGGATTGTCTGTTCAAGAGTCGATTATGTACAATACGCCGCCATATAGCTGGAATATTGCTGAGTGCGGCGTAAAACAACAAACGAACCAATCAATCCAACAAGTGTCGGTCTTATTGATGCAACCCGTGAAGATCCCTGTTAGAATTGATCTTCAGTAACCCATGCTTAAGAGGCGACTAACGGGATCGGGTGTTCAGACTCGCTGACTTGGTTGCCACATGTCATCGTATCCTAATTGTATAGATCGATGCTCATGCATTCCTTTGATTGTCTGGTCCAGATTCGATTATTTACAGACCGCCGCCATATAGCTGGAATATTACTGAGTGCGGCGTAATATTGAACTCACTCACTCACTTATCGATGCACATGTTATCAATAATTTGATTGTCTGGTCCTCACTATTTACAGACTGCCGCATATAGAGACGAAAACTGTTGATTGCGGCATTAAACTCCAAACACACAATGTTGTCCACGTGAATTTGAGGGGAATCTGTGTTCATCTCACATCACCATCCTGTAATACGGGTAGGTATTGTGTGTGTTGGGTGTCCCTCCCATAGAGGCTGGGTGTACTGGGAACACTGGGTCACTGTCTGCAGCACACGACAACTGTTGCCTGTTCTTGATGACGTTGCTGTTGCTGCTGTTGTTTACTTGATCAACACGTTACGTGCCCGGGTACCGATCCACAAAGCATTCGTAACGTTACGACCTGTCGTAACTCTACAGTTTATCATAGGCTTACGAATGTCGTAGTGCGACGAACGTTTTGTGGATCGGCTTCTGATCCAACTTAATGAGACCAGGGTCCCGATCCACAAAGCGTTCGTAAGGTTACGATCTATCATAACTCTGTACTTTACCATTGGCCTACGAAGGGCACAATGCTTCGAACGTTTTGTGGATAGGGTCCCTGGTGTTTGTCGTAATACGATTAGATTGACAGTACTGATGAGATGTGGTTTAAGTTGAACTTTGAACCTCAGTTTCCCCGATTTCAAAAAAATAATTGACATAGACGAACAGACTTTCTGGGTAGAAAAGAACTTAAATTCTCTTTGTGCTATATCGTCTTTCCTTCAAACAAGCTCACATTGGCTTCTATAACATCTGACTTTAAGCGGTCTGCCAAGAATACTGACCAATCCAGATAAAGCACAACAGTTAACGTACGTCTGAAAAATATCTATACCGTAAAACGATCCAGGTTTACGAGAGTCAAAATACAAACACATTATAGACAAAGAGGGACTGGTCGCACCGAAAAACGCGTTTGTAAATGCAACATCCTTACGACCTGCTTTTTAATTTGTCTTTCCATTGTTCACTTTTAGGGTTTAATTATCGTAAAGGCGGCACATTGAAACTGACAAATAAAAGAGTATTTATGTGTTTTAGATGTGGATCGATGAGTACCAAGTCACGCACTGTATCAATCACCTGCGTTTCATTAAAGGCACAATGTCACACATTTTCGACAATATTTTGGCCTATTATATATTGGGGCATATGCACTGATTGTAGCTTTTACTTGATGCAATAAAATACTTATTATCCCTTACGACTTGCCATAAATCGATAATTGAAACTTCGAGGGAGAACAGCTTCCAAACAGAGAACACTTGCCATATATAGAATGTAAACATTTGCTCAGTACATCGAAAACTGTCGCACGCGGTGTTGTGGGTATTTGCCGAACTGGTTTCAATCACAAGCTGTGTAGTGCGTAGAGTATTCATAAAGAGCGCTCCAAGGGACATAACTCTAAGGAGTTCGCTTGAAATAATGTTCCCCCGGTAGAAGGCGCGAGAGTCGATTTAATGCAACGTTGCGTTAATTCATTCGATCCTTTTAATCTAATATTGTAAAATATTTTTGGAATAAATTATATGGTAGCTTTCCTGAGGGCCGATAGTTAGTAAACTATCCCAAAGAAAAGAAACGAGGTAAAATCGATTGTTTACTTGTGCAATTGTGTAAAATCATGTTATCAACACTTTTGTTACATATTTTGACGATCGTTTGAACACAATAGGTAATTAATTGATTTTTAAAAATACAGATCGCCTATGCGTTTCTTTTTTTGATGGTGTATTATTGAGAGAAGTGCATTATTCATTTTTAGAGAAGTGTGGTGTGATATAGTACCTTGAAATTCCATACTGGTCATGTCAATATAGTGATCTACATTGTCCTCATTGGTCAGTCAAATACAAGTGTGCCGTGTCTGCTATGCTACATCAAACAGACAAACACATCTCTGATTGTCGTCGTTTCACAAGTTTACCCACGTGAAAAGCCGAACTCAATTTCAGAAGGTTTTCGAGAACAGGTTCCTTCATAACATGTCTACTTCATCAACAGCGGGCGGTGGTTAAAGTGCTCGCTCGTCACGCCGAAGGCCTGGGTTCGATTCCCGACATGGGCACAATGTGTGAAGCCCATTTATGGTGTCACCCGCCGTGATATTGCTGGAATATTGCTAAAACGGCATAAAACACAATTCACTCACTAGTTGTAGCGGGGTGGGGGGTGTGTGTGTTTGGTTTGGCAGAATATCCGCCATTTTCTTTTTATGACGTCACATAGGTGTGACCTTTGTGTGACCTAATCGACTGTTGAACCCCACCCTCCAGGCATGTGTGTGACCTTCAGGTTGACCTCATTTTCACAGGGAGGCAATGTAATGAGCTGACCTTGGGACTTTCCAAGAGGTATTTTTAGACTCGTGTGTGGGCAATATAAGGCTCCCGAACAGTCCCCATGTCATTCAGTAGCCAGAGACAACGCACGCATGCTCTTGACTCTACTGGTTCTGGTAGCCGTTTACCTTGAAGATGGAAGCCGTT